AGGAGCTGATTGAACCTCGTCAAATGGCTAGTCAAAACAGCCACACCTTCCTCCTTTTGCTCGTTTCCTGTTTTATAAGCGTGAAAGCAGTGGGAGAAGAATCGGGTAGCTCGGAAAGGGCTTCACCATCGTTTACTTACGAGATAAACAAGTAAGATTTGTAAAGTTATTTTCCGAAAGAGTCGGAATAAATACATTTTTTTCAGGTTAGATTTCTGTTTTTACCCTAAACGTCGTCCAATAAATTTTTGTTGCAGCCTACTAATCTGTACAATTTCGAAGGAAATAATTCAGATGCTTCACCGTCCCCGAAGGGGGTTCTGTCCTGGTGTACCGGTTGACAAGGGAATTACCATTGTTCTTTCTTTGTTTAGGAGTTATCGGTTAGCTATTGTATATTGTTTGGTCTTTTGTATTGGCTCTTGTGAACCGGTACACTAAGACAGAACCCCGAAGGGTCTCCACTCATCGAAGCGTGTACTGTAGCCAATGCAGTGAATTTTCAGTCTCTTGTTGGGTTTATCAACCTCCGTGACTTCAATATCATACAATTTTGTATCTTTTCTCTGTGAAATGACCTTTTTAACAGGGGTGTATGCTGAGTATTCGTTGCAGAATCGCTTTGGTTCTCTTATCTCTCTCTTTGGCTTGTCCGCCATTTTGAAAATTTGCTCAGGAGGGCATCTGGGTTAGCGGCCGCGCCAGGCTGGAACCGACAAAAACAAATGTCCATCGCAGTGGGGAAACAGTTTGATATGATTAGCGGAGCACTTTTTTCAGAAATGAACGCTCATAGAAACCGTGATAGTCACGACTACCTAAATTATGTATATATCTTTAGACATATTAGCGTCGTGGAGCCTATCTTTGTACCGGAGAAAAGGACGGTAATGTATATTAACGCTTCGGAAACTATAACACTAAATCACATTTGTATGACGTGTTTTTTTGTCTTCATTTGTTTTCCACTTCAGTTTATCATTCATTCTCCTTCACGCAGTGACATCCCTTAAGATATTAAGAGACAAACAGCAGAACCATTCAAACAAAACCAGCAGCAACACAGAGAAACTTGGCTGTTTTTGGCCCACTGGATCCGAACGAAGCTGCAAGTTTCCCCAGCCTCAGAAACTCGCCTTCGGGTGAGCGTTCATGGTTAGGAGAGAAACTTGACGATAAAGAAAGTTACTGCCGTTTGCCTAAAAGGGAGCACGGCCTTCTTCTATTTGAACGTGACCTTGCTGAAAGAAATCTCAGGGTTACAAATTACCGGCCTTCCGACGAGCGACGAAAACAAAGAAATCGAGGAAGATATGGTAGGGATTCCTTCTTTTACCTTTTGATCAGATTATCTGCGTAGAGACACCGTGATTGAAAATTTAATTCAAAGACGGCCCAAGTATCATTTTGAAACCTTCCCGATTCGCAATACCAATTCTTCGAGAAGGGCACTACACTTTCCAGAGTCCTATCAATTTAATCAAACTACAAAGCCGTGTTTTCATAAATTATCCTGATGGAGATTCTTGAGTGTAGACTTTCATCAGTAGACCCCTTTTATTTTACCGTGGATAAATCCACCTCTTACTCTTAGTATATTTAGTCCTCTGTCCTTCATTTCTCACCCGTGTCCCTTCGTATTAAGCTCCCCTATTCTTTTTTTGCGCGAAGCGTTATTGGCGGACCAAATTTTTTCTCGTGAATAGTCATTTAAGTTTTTCTTTATTCACTAATCGTGATTAAAGATGATAAAATATTTTTTATGTCCACGTGAGTCTTTTTATTCAAACGTGACTCGTGAATGAAGAACTGAATTGAAAATGATTCGAGAACGTGAACGATTTCGTTTTCGTAATAAATTTCTAGCAATTCTCATGTTTTAGACAGGACATCAGCTTCATAAAAATCGATAACAGTCATAACAGAGACCACTAATGGTCCTTGAACAAGTAAGGCAAGCCATAAAGTCATCTTTTCTCGCTATTGACTGGTCAACACTAGAAAAAAGTCAAAAAAAGAATTCGTGAATTTTTTTTTGTTGTTGTTTCTATGTGAAACGTGGCTGTCTCAAGTTTCGCGTGAACATGAAAGAATTTTAGATATTATTCGTGATGCGCGAAAAGGTCGAGCATTTTTACGTGACTGAGTTTTATTAAGGTTTGTTGGGAACCCTTTGGTATCTCATCTGTAGATTTTCTCAGCGATGAGAACTGTGTCTGAATTCAACCCGTCTAACACGCCTTTATTACTTGAACTTTCCTCAGGAGCTGTGGCAACTAAAATTCAGCGAAACAGCATGGAAAATCTACACGAGGGACCGAACCAGTCTAGCCCCCGACTGAACTCAAAATATTCCAAATTACCCTTAGATCATCACACTAATGGAGCGGAAAACATGGAACTACATACGCAGCTTAACACAAGCGAAAATCACCTTAGCGATAGCCAAGAAAGTAGCTCTGAAGACGAAGACAAACACGGTATTAAGGACGCCAATGATTACGTTAACAATTCTAATGACAATGCTGATTTTATTGATAATGACGATGACGACAACCACGACGACTTTGCCAACAACTTTGGCGTTTTTGCCAAGAGTTGCACAGTTCAAGCTCCCCCATGTCCAAATGCAGACGAAACGTCTGTAGGGTCAGAAGAAACAGCGGAATCTCTTACTAAAGAATTAAACGTTAGCTTGCGATTTAACTCACAGTACAGCATTGACGAGGACACGGGAAACTCTAGTGTTGAGAACAAAGATGGTAGCCTAGCCAGTAGCAACAGTATCAGCAGCAATAATGATACTTCTTACGAAATTTCCAACACCAGAAGTGACAAGAAAAAAGCTAAAGACGTGGAGAAAACTAGCGGTTATGAAAAAGGAAATAATGTCGAGTTTTCAGTGGAAAGAAACGGTGAAGCTAAAAGTCAAGGAGCAAGACCAAAGAATCTTTCTCAGAATCCAACGATGTTCAACGCATTTGAAACAAACTATCACGATGGGAAGATACCATCATTGGAGACTACTGGTATTTGTCAAACTTTTCTCGCCCGGCACTCTACAGATCCGAGTCTTCCGCGAAGTTTGTTTACAGAAAGTTACGACATGCGCAACAGTTATTCAAACGATTGGACCCAACACTCTATAACCAGTAATGGCAGCTCCTCCCCACTTTGGAGTGTTCCCCGTTCGCCGGCTCCAGAAAGAAGTGGGTTGATGCTGGAGGGCGCACAATCCAGGGGGTTGGGTCCACGGTACGGGGGTCCAATGCCGGTAAACTACCAACCTGTGACACCAATGACGGGACAATTCCCCGACGCTAATGGCTTCAGCCAAACGAGCTTTTCAAGTTTTGGTGACTTAAATGCAGGAAATGGGACTCAGACAGCATCACCTTCACTCAGCGTCAGCCCTCTGGCGCCCGCTGTGAGATATCCAGCGGTTACCAGACCAAATTCCAGGATAAACGTTCCGACTACGACTTCGCAATACTCTTCAAGTACGATGTCTGGAAGTTTCCCACTGGTTACTTCCACTAATAATGCGTTTAATAATTATGGACAAGTACGCGTAGTAGACTTCAACAGGTACAGGGCTAGGGCCTCCCATGGAGATACCCAGGAAAATGGCGGCCTAAACTCATCAGAACTGGGTGGTTCAGAGAGGCAGGAAGAGAGATTACGGAACCATGACCTTTACAGTCGTCATCAGGAGGGTTCATTTGCGTCAGTATCGCTTAGGGATCCTTTACTGGTTTCTCTTGAACAACAAGTGGCTGAAATCGATAGAGTTCTTAAAGAGCGAGAAGAGCGGACCAAAAGGCAGAGAGAAGCGGCGCAAAGACAGAAGGAGATTAGAGAAACAAGGCAAAGAGAGGCAAGAGAAAGAAAAGAAAGAGAAGAAAGAGAAATGAGAGAACAAGAGGAGAGAGAAAGAAAAGAGAGGGAACAGACAGAAATAAGAGAAAGAGAAGACAGAGAAACGAGAGAGAGGGAACTGAGAGAAATAAGAGAAAGAGAAGAAAGAGAAACCAGAGAGAGAGAACTGAGAGAAATACGAGAAAGAGAAGAGAGAGAAACGAGAGAGAGGGAACTGAGAGAACTAAGAGATAGAGAAGAGAGAGAAACGAGAGAGAGAGAGGATAGAGAAATTAGAGAAAGAGAAAACACAGAAGGAATGGGGAGAGAATTGGGTGGGCAAAGAGAAGGAGAAGCAATGGAGAGAGAAGAAAGAATAGTAGATGGGAACCAATCAATTCAGGAGACTCCGCTATGGCAGTGTGAACATTACCAGCGGAGATGTAGTGTCAAGTTTCCATGTTGCGGAGTGTTTTATCCGTGTCACCGCTGTCACAATTTATCGGAGACATGCTCTGCTGATGATAAGAAGGCACATCATGCGACGCATGTCAAATGCGGAAATTGCGGACGCGAAGAAGAGGTTAGTATCTTTTGCTTCGATAAACAAATTTCTGAAAGTACAATTAATTTTGTCCCAAAATACCTGACGTTAAAATCCCATGGGAGTGAGTTACATCTAACCTGAGATTGATCAAAATACCAAGAGCAGTAGGAAGTCTTTGCCATGAGCGACGACAAAAACCAAATTCCCTATAAACATGAAGATTAATCAGATCAAGGAATCGATTACAACTGACCAATGGGAAGATAAAGTGATTTCATGCAATCAGCATCAAGCGCGGGAAAACAGTTCTTCCCAGGTCTCCACTGGCTTTACTTTGGCATCTAACTAGGCCAGATGGTGGTGGAAGTTTTCTAGATCGATCCCGCAATAATGAAAAAGCCAAAACCAATGCCGGTTTATTTTCGTCAATCAGATGAAACGAGAGAAATTGGCTGCAATGGGCAGCGGGTTAGGTCACGCCTCCACACGAATTGCTACAGATATTGCTTATAACGCATT